AGCGTGACAGAGACGACCGCTGTCGTGACATTCGTGGCGACCAGGCTAGCAGAGATGTTGTCGCCAACCAGCTCAGTTCCCAGAGGCGCCGTCACAAGGTCGCCTTTGCTGGTCTGGCGCTTCTCGTTGTGCAGGTCGCAGCCCGTGCTTGAGGTCACGCGTACAAAGGGGGGGAATGTTGCCAAAAGGTCACCAGCGATCGTGCTTCGGATGGCTGCAGCATCGATCTCGCCATGTTTGCTGTACCTCTCCCTGGCCAGGACGATGCACATGGAGAGAACCTCCTTGACTTGCTGTGGCAGCGGTGCGGGTGGCAAGGCCGGCGGCTGGCGCGGCGCCGGTGGCGGAGACGTCCTGCCGAATGTCCTGCCGAAGGAGGCGTGCCCCCTTGGCAGTCGTACGTCCTTCAACTTTTCCCTATCGCTCAGTTGGCAGCGCTTCCCGCCCTTGAGCACTTGAGCACTTGATAGGGTCGATTCCGCATGGTACGGGACCCCTCGATCGTCTCTGTAGAGCTCTACAGCCTCTATCCTCATACACACAGCTCATCAGAGAGCCGCTCTACTCGAGCGAGTACATCTGTACAGCTCTATACAGCGTCGCTCTACACTCTCTCTATCTGCCTACATACTTACTCACGCCGCCACGGATGAGTCTTGCACGTTCTTCTTTCACCCCATCCATTTGCGCATCTCGATCGAGCCGACTCATTCATACTAACTCTCAAAACAAAAAAAATCTCTCTCTAACTCTCTCTTACTAACGGGATAACAGCATATCACGGAGTTCCCTTAGAGCTCTATGGAAGCTGAATAAGAAATCGAGCGACAGCGTCCGTGTCCACACCACACACAGCCCAAATTCCCCTCTTGCACCGCCGAAGTCGAGGGTGAAGCATGGCTCGCGGCTCCATCTTCAAGGCCAGCCTGTCTCCCGAGCAACTCGAGGTCGAGCAGCGGCTGCGAACCCTCGCGCTGATGCTCGTCGGCCTCGCCGTGATCGCTTGTGGGCTCTATTACCTCGAGGGAATCCTCATTCCGCTCGTGCTCGCGCTGGCCCTGACTTACACGCTCCAGCCGATGATCGACCTGCTCTCCAAGCGTCCGCTGCACCTCTGC